GGAGGGTTTCCTCTTCACCACCACTACAAGCTCCACTGTGCCAGTGCTCCTCCTCACACCAGGACCACCACCCAGAACTGTGACCCAGATCCATGCACAGGCAATGCAAGAGATTCTTGCCTCAGCACTGACAAAGAGATCCCTGCAATCCACCTCTGATCAGCCACACAATTCCCTCTCAGTCTGTGGGCCTGAAGCTCAGGAGGCAGTTGCCTCTCTGGGGCCGATTTCCTCTGGGAATGGGACTGAGACCCCAAGCTCCTCTCTCACCACCACAGAAACAGATTTTTCCTACTGACCTTCTAGGTTGTCTTTGGCATTCATAGGATGAGAAGTCTGGAAACTGCCACAGCTGCCTGTGATTCAGTCCTCTGAGGCCTGCTCCAGGGTCGCTGCAGCCTGAGTGCCTATGCTGCACTGTGCTCTGCTTATAGCCTGGCGCGATATACCTTTCTGATCAACCATCCAGGTTGTCTTGGGCTGGAAATTTGTTTTACTCTGTCTTTTTGTGGGTTCTGCTGCTTTAGAATTTGTTTAGAGCCATTTTTTTATGGGTATTTGGAGGGGTTTGTGGGAGAGCTCAAGCAAGTCATTGCTTTCACTCCGCCATCTTGGCTCCACCCCATTCTTCCTCTTTGCCTTAATCAGAATCCTTTCTCAGGAAATAATGTGCTAAACTCCAATACAGTCTTGTGTCCCTGTTGCAATCACTTGCCTACAGAATTGAGAAGTTGGGTCCCCAACAAAGTTCATAATTACTGCTCCCCTTGATGTCTTAGGGGAAAACCTGATGGGTTTATACTATCATCACTTATAAGCCCCCATCTTGTATACTTCCCAATATCAATCAATAAGTAGAACTCTTTTAGCTCTTAGGAAAGGACATTTGCTAAGAAGGACTAGTAAGGACAGCTGTCTGTTACAAAAAAGAAAACTTTCCCAAACTTGAGGCACACTTTCTTGTGGCATCCAGGTCCCTGGGGAGAGTGGGTCCAAACTTAGAAAGCACATGTCGCCAAGGGTTAAACACACCTCTTGGTTACTGGAAGTCATTTTCTCCCATCATGAAGACCTTATTTAGGGCAGTTAGGTGGCACAGTGGATAGAGCACTGACTCTGGCTGGAGTCAGGAGGACCCAATTCAAATCTGGCCTCAGACACTTGACACTTACTAGCTGTGTGATCCTGGGCAAGTCACTTAACTCTTATTGCTTCACCAAAAAAAAAAGAGAAAAAAAGACAAAAAGACCTTATGAAGTTCCCACAGTGTGAACAGGCTTGTTCCTCTCCTTCTTTGGTCCTGGCTATTTTCCTTTTCAGGGCTCTCCAGAAGTTCTCCTTGTACATTCTACAGAAGCACCACACCCAAATCCAGGTTGGAGGAGGCTGGCATTCTCTCCCTTTGCTTAAAGCTATCAAGGGGTTCAACTGGCCTCCCTCCTTGACTTTTCAACTTTCTATTTGTTTAGGGGTGGGGTAGGAGGAAGGAATTCTCAAACTGATTGAAGATCAAGAAATTTACTCCTGGTAGGTTTCAAATCTCTAAAAAAGATCTCTGCATCTGCAAATGCAATTCTCTTCCATGTTGAAATGGGGAGCGTTGCTATCTTTCCTTTGCATGGGTAGAGAGTGACTTTACACATCCACAGTCTGCCCTGAGACCCAAAAGGAGGCAGCATGCATATGAGGAGGGGTGGGACTGGGGAGCTGGTCCTTTCTAAGTTTGGGTAGTTGATTGGGTATCTCCTGGAACCTATTCTGGGAGGAGGTAAGACCAGGGGATGTTTCATGTACCAGGAAGGATTTTCCTTCCTTGCATTGCTGCTAAGGCATAGCATTATAAAGACAACTTTGAAAGCCTTAAAAACTCTGATCAATGCAATGATCAATTTTGATTACAGAGTTCTGATAATTTAGCATGCTATACCTCTTGACAGAGATGGATAGAAGATATAGGATAAAACATAACATTTTTGGAAATGGTTGCTATGGGAATTTCTTTTGCTTGAGTGTCAATATTTGGTACAAGGATTTTTTTTATCTTTTTTTCTTTTTCTCTCAGGGGAGGGGTAGTAAGAAGGGAGAGAAAATAAATGTTTGTTAATTAAAAAATTAAATTAAATTAAAGCAAAAAGAAATACAGCTGGTAGGGCAGCTTCTGGGCATGATAAGTCACTTTCCAGGGAGACTAGACATCAGTCCACATGATTTGTGGGATGCATGACTTAATAGAGACAGATTAGATTTAGATAGCCTGGCATTTGGATCTTACATCTGATACCTACTAGTTGACCTGGGGTCAGACACTTAACCCCTATGAGCTGCCAGTTTTCTCATCAGAAATATGAGGGGAAAATTGCTTCTGTCTTTGCCAGAGTAAAGTCTGGTTGGTGTGAATCTCAAATGAGATCATGCAAGTAGAGGATTCCACAGACTTTAAAGATTTATGTAATTGGAAGGTTTTATAATGAAAAAAAAAAGAAGGCTGCTTTTACCTCCTCTTCACTCTTCAGTTCAGCCACTCTATTTCTGGCCAAATGTTAATAAGGAGCCTTGACTATATCAAAATGTCAGCTATTTTTGCATGTTTTGATAAGATCGTATTTATTTGGATGTGTGGTTGGTAATTAAATTTAGTGAAGCAATGAAGACTTGGGGTCTGAGATTGATTTCAGACTCTGGGGTCCAAATTGGTTTTTACCCTCTCCTTTATGATCTGAATTATGGTAATGATGCCTCTTCTGAGACAGGGTTTATGAGTAAAAGAGCTTCTCGGGGTGCAGTCTGCAAACATGCTAGGCTAATACCACATTATTCATCTCAGTTTTCCATTGCAAATGTTGCAGAGGTTAGGATCTTTGTTGTGTTTTATTATTAATTGATACATACTGCTATGTTCACATGCATATTTTCAAATGAAAACAGAATTCTCATTTTATGTGCTTTGATTTAATTCCATAATGCATTGTTTTAATCTCAAATAAATATCAAATTTACAGTCCTCAGATAAAAATATATTTGAGGCTTTATATGGATTCTCTAAAAATATTGCTGAGAATAAAAGTGCTCCCCAGATCATCAGCCCTGCTTCCAACCCCAAATCCCCAAGTTATTGTCCAAGGTAGCAACTCCTGTGGGTTACCTGGTAACTACCTTTTGCAGTTGCTGTATCCCCCAACTCCTCAGCAGCCACAGTCATTAAAAACCTGGAAAAGAAAGTTATTGCTACTAGTTCTTGGCACTGTCAAAAGGTATAACCTCAGAAACAGGAATTTAACAGTGGAAATGACATGAACAAAGATGCATTACTATCTACTTTGCCACTGAAACCTAAGAACCACTGCGGCTTCCTCTCTGACTTGCAGCTGAAACCTCCTCTGTATGTTATCTCACCCATTGGAAAGTAAGTTCCTTCAGAACTTGTCTTGCCTTACTTTTTATTTATATACACAGCGCTTTGCACACAGTAAGAGCTTAATAAATGCATTTTTATTGCTTCATTTATATATAGCTTGGATTGCTCCAGTGTTGTGCTTGGAAGATTTTCCTCAGTCAGCTAAATGTGCTCCTATTTCCTTTTCTCTTTTTGCCATTGTGCAGACAGGACAAAGGCTTTATCAATGGCCTTGGCTGAGGCTAATGGTGATGGTACTATTGCCCGTGCCTCTCCAGGGCTGTCAGAGGGCTGTTTGTACACTGAAGTCATCATGTTTGATGCTGTTTTTAACTAATAGGGTACAGAGTCTTCTCATATGTTCCTCATGTAGCTTATTATAAACGTGGGAGCATAGGATCTAGGCATAGATCAGGGGTGAAAGCAGAAGCTGTGGGAGACTGTTCAAAGGGCACTGGATTTAGAGATCTGGGTTTGAATGTGGCCTTGGTGATTGGCATGGTATTTCCTCATCTGTAAAATGAAGGGATTGGACTATTTGGCTCTTTGAGGTCCCAGGATTTAATACAGTGATGTGCTAGAGGGGAAAGGGACTTTAAAATCCACCTATTGAAGGCTACTTTTTTTAAACAGATGAGCAAATTGAGGCCAAGAAAGGCAGAGACTTGTTCAAGGTCACACAGGTAGTAAATAGCAAAGCTGGGATTCCAACCCATTTCCTCTGATACCACTCTTTCTACTATAGGGCTTGAGGTCATAGGTGAGTGGTATTTCTTTCTTTGTGTGACTTAGTTTCTCATTATACTTTATATATGGATCTCTCCCTTGCTTGTATCATACTGTGCTTCATGTGTCATGGTTATCTCTCTCTCTCTCTCTTTCTGTCTCTATCTTTTTATTTGTCTATCTATGTCTATTTCTCTATCAATCTCTCTCTTTGTCCAGTTCTCTCTATTTCTCTAACTCTATATCTATATCTATCAGTCTAACTCTATCCATCTATCTATCTATATCTCTGTCTCTATCTAATCTGTCTTATCTTCCCATATTAGATTGTAAGCTCCTTGAGGGCAGAATCTCCACCTAATTTCCTATGTGTATCACCATTACTTTGTACACAGTGTTTAGTGGACCATCATTGAATCAGTCCCCTTCTTCTGGGTGAAATAAACTACCCCATACCTTCCTTCCCAACTCCTCTTTTTTCTCCCCTCCTCCAGCTATAGTGGTGAATGTCCCCAGCCTGTCATGGGGGAGACCAGGGGTTCCCCAATGAGGAGACATGAGGGCTTTTTTAAGGAATCATGCTGTAGTGGAGACAATAAGAAATTGGTGCTCAAATCTACTTCAAATACTTGTCTGCCTGTGTGATGCTGGGCAAGTCATTTAACAATTCTGGTCCTCAGTTTCCTCGTCTGCAAAGAAGGGGTGATGGTGGATTAAATGGTCTCTGAGGTCCCTTCCAGCTGTCAAGCTATGATCCAATGGACCTTTCTGGCTTTGGTTTCTTTAGTTGAAAAATGGAAGGGTTGGACCTGAAGACTTCTCAGGTCCCTTCCAGCTCTCAATGTGCACTCTCTTTCTTTTTCTCTTCTTCCTCCTCCAGGCAGCAAGATGACATTTGGGGGACAAGGCACCACTCCAATTCTTAGTTTCTCCAAGTGATCGCCTTGCAAAAGAGGGTCCCAGAATCAGTGCCTGAGCAAGGATAGGCAACACTTGCTGGAGCAGCCTGGACAGGAATCAGCTCTGGATTCATGAAACGGCAGAGAGAGTTTGCAGAGCAGCACAGAGAGAGCAGCTGACTGACCGTGGTCCTTCTCCGGGGCCCACCTGTGTGGCTAACTGCCCTGTGATCACCAGTCAGCAGGGGCACATAAACAGCAAGGGCAGCAGCCCTCCTCACCCAACGAAACAGGCAATTGAAGCAATTGCACGTGAAATTCACATTCTTACAAATTACCTTGAAACAATTATACATAAAATCCAGGACTTGATTCCCTTCCCTATTTGCCAACCTCTGGGTATCAAGGCCAAAAGGGGGCACTGGGGTGTGATTTATCTGTATTGTCCAAATTTATTCAATGTCTTACTCTTTTTTGTTTCTCTGTGGAAGCCGCAGACCCCTAAATGCTTTTCTACCGCATTTGCATACAATGTGGTTGGTTTCTTGGTTACTATTAAGGGTGTGTATGTATGTATGTATAATATAGCATCTACCATGTGCCAAGCACTGTGACAAATGCTATTATCTCATTTGATCCTTCACAACAGCCCTGTGAGTTGGGTACTATTATTACCCCCATTTTACAGTTGAGGAAACTGAGGCAAACAGAAGTTGTGAGCTTCCTAGTGTCACATAGCCAGTTACTGTTTGAGGCTGGATTTGAACTTAGGTCTTCCTACCTCCAGGCCCAAGGCTCTTATCCATGGAAACACCGACTTGCCACAGAGCTGCCAAGATGTCTAAGATAAGGCTTTTACTCTAGAGTTCACAATGTAGATGAATGTTCCCACATTGGGCTGAATCCCCAGCATATAGAGAATTTACTGGTGCCCTCTGCCAAGTGGAAGAAGGATCCTGGGGGCATTTCTGCATTATAGATTGTTTTTTTTTTCTTTTTAATAAACCCTGATGGTGTTTTAGATGCATTGTAGTAAGATTCCTGTGGGATAATCTATTTCTTTGATATTAATGACCAGTCATAGTTAGCATATCATGACTCATCTGGAAGCCCTCAAGGTGCTTGGTAGGGACTAGATTTCCTTTGTTCCTGGGGAAGAAGAGGACCCCTCTCTGCAAATCCTTTGGATGGACGTACTTAGAAACATAATGGCTGATATTTAGAGAGAGATTGAGTCATATTAACAACAACAGCAGCATCTCTGTCTTCCTAAGTCTGAGGGCATCCGCTCTCTGTGAGAGTGCCTGTGTTCGACTGAGTCTTCTCTGTCTTTCTACTCTTCTTAGTTGTAATCTGGAAGACAATATTTCTATTGATTCAATGGCTCTTGGGGCAGCCCAAGGCTCCATGAAAGTGTCCTGAGAGTATGTGTGTCAAGGAGACCAAAATGGATACTGCAGCTGCCGTGGAGCAGTGATGACCAGCTTTTTTTGGAGCAATGACAACCTTCTCTTTGTTGTTATGGAATTCCCTTTCCCCGCCCCTCTAATGCACACATCTAAGGTCATAAGGTATACGTGATTTTTTAAGGTAACATGGCATAGTGGTTGGAATGCTGGACTTGGAGTCAGGAAGCCCTGTTTTCAAATCCTGTCTCTAACCCTTACCAGCTGTATGACTCAGCCTCAGACAAATTCTCTAAGACAAATTATAGTCATATTGCTGATCTATACTAGGGAGGTCTCACACCAGTGAAATTACAGGTCTTTGATGTATTCATATATATTTTAAATTAAAATGAATCAATCAATTTTGGCTCCAAAGTTTTGTTTATTTCCCTTGATAAAACCAGAAATATTCTCAGACTCACAAAAACAGGGTTGGAATTCACTCATGTGTATGTCTGTATTCTTTCCTCATTACTATCCATCCCTCCCACCTCCTACTTCCCCCCAAAAAGGTGAAGGGAGGTGGGGATAATGAGATCTGCAGGGAGAGCTCAGTTCTTCAGTCCATTGTTGTTTGGGCTCAATACTTACCTTGATTTGCCCATTAACCAATAGCAATCTTGACCTGTGCACCAACAACTTTTAACCAAATGAAAACTTTGTGAGCTTCATCCATGTCCTCAGTAGTCATATCTTCATTTAGGTGCGTATCTTCATTGATTCCTTTCCCATCCCAACTTTACCCCCTTCCGGCCCAAGCTCTCATCAGACCCTTACGGGCTCTCACTTTTCTCATTTATCAGGGACACATGAAAATTGAAAAAGCACACCTGGTTCAGGCATCCTCTTCTCTTCTCTGCTTCCTCCTGTTGTCAGGGCATGTGCAAACTGATTGAAATGGTTAAGAAACAGCTCAACTTGCCTGCTTTTTGTAAATAAGCTTCAGTTAGGCCAAACCCCCTGCGTTTCTACATTTCTTCTTCTGAAACCCAGATCAAGGAAAAATGGGAAAGGGACATGGCTTTCATGTTCTCTTTCCAATTTTGTTATGTGTCCCTGGTGTTCCTTGGGTTGCCAAGAATTTATTAAAAAAGAGATAAGATGGGTGATTGTCACAGGAAAGCAGGAGAGGCTAGTGACCCATCTGGGAGCATTAATTCTTGCTTACAGAAGGAAATATGTGGAAAGGCAGGAAAAATATGCAATAATTTAGAATGTGATTGTACACAATGAAGCATGAATCACCTTCTCATTTCTCCCCTTCATTGTTACTGTAGTCATGACCAATAAATAATGGTTCAGAATCATCAGAAGAAAGACCCTGAGTATAATCAGCATGAATGTGAGGGATAGAACTGGAACATATCCTGTGATCTAGGTTTTAATTGGGAGCAATAGAGACAGCTATGTTTGCTGAGCATAGTGACATTTTCCAGCAAGGAAACAATTTTTGGAAATCTTAGTAGTTCAAGGATTAATAGCAAAGTTCTTCAAACATAAAACCATAGTAATAGAATGCATTGTCATGATTATGATGGACAGCTTTCAGGATTGCTCAGCAGTACACCTATGTCTGAAAGATATTGCTGATGGACAATGAACTGGGCCTAGAATTGAATGGGAGAAAGAGAGTGGGTTGGGTCATGCTTGGGAAACTATGGAGTGCTATTAATGAATCTCCAAGCTTCTCGTTGGAACAAAGGTTCATCCTCAAAATTTTTTTCCACTAATTTTATTCAGCTGATACTAGAAGACTGTGGATGATGGAATATCATAGCATCTGAATAATTAGAGTTGTTAGTCTCCCAAAGGATGATGGAGAGATATACGATGGGTATGAGTAGGCTGTGGCACATTGTCAACGAAGGACTGGGGAAGAAAAAGAGGCGCTGCACTAGCTGCTGGCCTTGGAAACATGATACAATCATAGTAAGGAACTAAATAGCTAATAATATGTGACAGAAAATAGACTGGGGGGAAGCCAGAGGAGATTTAGACAAAGTGCTTTAGAAGAACAATCTGAAGAGCTTTCAAAGAGGATTTATATGAAGGTTGCATGGAGAAGGTAAGCCCTGAGCTGAGCCTTGACAGATGAGAAGGAGTGGGAGATGGAGATGAGGAGGGAGTACACTTCCCTCAAGGGACGTGTGTGTGTGTGTGTGTGTGTGTGCACGTGCACACATGCAAAGTGAGGGGAGAACAGAACAATATTGGGAAACGCCTATTATTTCACCTTGACTAGAATAACATGATAGCATTTCTATAGCATTGTCAAGTTTGCAAAGAACTTCCTGCATGTTGTCTCATTTGATCCTGAAACAAAATATGCGAAATAATCCTGGAAAGTAAGTTGAAGCTAGATTGTAGAGGGTGGCATTAAGTGACAGGTGAAGAAAGGTCTGTATATTTTGTCTTAAAGGCAGTGGGGAGCCACACAAGGTTTTTGGGCAACAGAATCATGGTCAAACTAGACACAGTTTGAAGACAGCAGTGTGAAGGATAGACTGGAGAGAAGAGCCTGGAATCAGAGAGAACATTTAGGAAGCTATTATAATGTTTAATTGAGAAGTGAAGAGGACCTGAAGTAGGGGAGTGGCAGGAAGAGAGAAGAGATGGGAATCAAATGTGGTTGTAGAATTGACAAAGATCTACCAAATGATTAGAATAGATGTGAGAGATGAGGAAGAGGGAAAGAAGAATAAAAGATGATGACTGAGATTTCAAGCTCGAGTGACTGGTTGTTGGTGTTCAACTTGATTGTGTCCAACTCTTCATGAACCCATTTAGGGTTTTCTTACTAAATATTCTGGACTGGGTTGCAATTTCCTTCTCCAGCTCATTTTACAGATGAAGAAACTGAGGCAAACAGGGTTCAGTGATTTGCCCAGAATCTACCAACACAGTTAGTAAATGTCTGAGGCCAGATTTGAATTCAAGAAGATGAGTCTTCCTGACTTTAGGCCTGCTGCTCTATCCATTGCACCACTTAGCTGCCCATTGGGTGACTGGTGCTATCCATAGAAATATAGAAATAGGAAAAGAAATAATTAGATATCTACTTTTTCTAAAGAACCACACAAAAAATCGAGTTGTACAGTCAATCAACAAATATCCATTGAGCAACCACAGAGTTTTAGAACTGGTCTGTGTTGTTAGAGGTACACAGTAGAGAAAGGACATGCTTCCCTTCAAGCTGTTCTCAGTCAAGTCACGTTAATTAGCATTTATTAAGTGCTTTTTGGGTGCCAGGCACTGTGCTAAACAATAAGAGTTCAAACAAATTCAAAAACAGTGTCTGGCCTCAAAGAGCTCACATTTTAATGGAGACACAATCTGTAAAGAGCTGGGTCCTTTTAAGAGACACACAGAGTGGATGGAAGGTGATCTCAGAGTAGAAGATAATAGTTGAATGGAGGATGATTGCAGCAGGGAGAAATTTAAAACACTGGCCTGGAATCAAAGAAGACCTGAATTCAAATCAGGCCTTAGACATTTACTAGCTGTATAACCAGGGCATTTGTGTCTTGAGCATCCCGGCCATCATAAAAGTTCATTATGCTGTGGTTCTTTTTTGTTTACCCATTCTTCCAGCCTATGTTCTGACTTTGGACTTGTTATTAGGGCTAGACTCTGCCACTCTTATAGGGGCAAGGTCTGCGCTGATTCTGTTGCTGCTTTGTTGGGAATATTGAGTGTTGCGTCATTCTACATTCTACGTGTGAAGTCTAGTGACCTGCAGGCTTTCACTACTCCAAAGGGGTCTGATCCAGGGCAAAATCTGATTGCTGAACATTCCTCTCGTCTCCCACCCCACAACCGCTCTTCAAGTTCCTGACCTACAGGGGTTTGGGTCTCAGCAAGAGTACATGCTGCTGGACTCCACCCCTATTAGCCAGCTAGAAATTTCTGTTGGTTCAGAGTAGCAGAATTGTAGCTTCCTCTTTGGTCTGGGACTTCTGCCTTGGTTATTTCTCTAAGCTGGGCTAGATCCTAGAAGTGAGACCCTGCTTGGAGCTTGGGGTCTGAGCCACACTGCTGCTGGCTTCTGAACTTCCTCCTTTCCTGGCTTACCACACAGGATCTCCCTAGCGAGGAACACCACCCCTGTATGCAAGTTCCCTTCTTATTCTGCCCTA